TTCTCCAAATGTTCCTGTTGGGAAGTGTTGAATGGGTCTATCGATCGGTGCACACTTTTATTGATCGATTAAAGAGATGAAGTGACTGAATTTTGCTGTTCAGCTATAGATGTTTGGATAGAGTCAAAATTGATATTATAGGATTGCTCGGCTTCAGCACTATTCTTCGATGCAATCGTCTCATCTGCATTAAGAATAATGTTAAGGAATTATTAAAGGCTACCAAAGTCAGAAAAATTTACATACCCAAATATCTATTTAATAAAGAGAGGGTAACATAAAGTTCATTATTTCCTTGTGTTGGAAGGTTGTCGTTCCTTTTATGTAGCAGAGACAAAAGAGAACCAACGACAGATTTTTCTTTCGACCTCTTTTGACCACCCTCGGTTCCTTTGACTGGTGGAACGACTAGCTGGATTTCCTCAACAATCACACCAAAATTTGGGGCATAAGTCAGGACTTTCTAGTGAGCATCCATCTTCAGGGACAAACTCTCAGGTTTGGGTGTCGATCGCATCTTTTTTCCTTACAACCTTCTTTCTCATCTTTTTGATTATTGTACATACAGGAAGTTGAAAACCTTTCAAAACTAGAAGATGAATGTCAATGTTCTTCTTACTCGATCTGTCAGCCATTTTGTGACTCGAGAAACACAAGAGGCAATGAACAAAATGAATAAACTGCAAGTCTTCATTCCTTGCTTATAGGGGGCACATAACATAAAGATTAATTATTGAATTAATTTTTTGTTTACTGTGTTATTTATTGTTTAATAATTTTTCTACTCTTATCGTAGCTATCACCAACAAGGAACAAAAAAGCGGGAAATAATGTGTACAATAAAAATGCCAGCACGAATCTCAAAGGATTGAGCGGCTAGGAATGAAGTCTCAGGCAATCAAAGTTCCGTGCCAAAGAGCGGGATGTTGATTGACAAAGCAAGTGATCGACTACACAATGACATCAACAGACGAACCTATCGAATGATGGACCTCTCACCGAGTCTATCAGATGTCTTTGATCGATCGACTAGTTCCCTCTGCAGAAGCAATCTCATATATACGCTCGATCGACATGATCCTGTGTGTGTGTGTGTGTGTGTGTGTCACGTACTCAAATTAGTTGGTCGGACATCCACTTGTTATTTGTAAGCCTTCTCTGGTCAGGGGTTCGATTCCCTTCGAGTGTATCGAAGCAATCCTGAAGGAGGAAGACGCTTTGGAGATTTCAAAGCATCCTAAAGTTCTTGCTGTTTTTGAGAACATATGGCACAAGATTCATACAACTCGCTCGTGGCAGTTCCTTGGCCTGGAGAGAGACGACATAGTTCCAAGGCAATCTTGGAAAAAATTAAATTTAAAGAAGATGTGATTATCGCTAATCTTGATACTAGTATGGTATGACTCATTATTAAGCTTAGTGTAGTAATCATGATTTTAATAATAATAATAATAATAAATGGCATCGAAGGCGAGCTGCTCCTCTAGGGTTTCGCCCGATGGCGATTCCCTGGCTTGATCTTTCGGCTTTTACGTAGTGACGACGAATTCTGCGTTTGTCAATCTCTCCTGCGATCGTCAACTCCTCATACACATTGTCGTCACTTCTTGCTCTTCCTTCATGTTATCCAACTTCTGCGTGGTCGTCGAGCTGTGAGCTGCATCGAGCTGCGACTGACTTCCAGGGCGTCTCGTCATCATCATCTCGTCTCACTCTCCTTCGCGCTAGCTTTTGCTTGATCGTCGAGCTGCGAGCCGCGTCGAGTTGAGTTTCAGGTCGTCTCGTCGTGGTCGTCTCCTCTCACTCTTGTTCACTGCAACTGTTTTGCGACCTAGCATCAACTCCTCATACACATTGTGGTCACTTCTTGCTCTTCCTTCACGTTATCCAGCTTCTGCGTGGTCGTCGCGTTGTGAGCTGCATCGAGCTGCGACTGACTTCCAGGGCGTCTCGTCATCATCATCTCGTCTCACTCTCCTTCGCGCTAGCTTTTGCTTGATCGTCGAGCTGCGAGCCGCGTCGAGTTGAGTTTCAGGTCGTCTCGTCGTGGTCGTCTCCTCTCACTCTTGTTCGCTGCAACTGTTTTGCGACCTAGCTCGTCGAGTTGCGATTGTTCTGAGGCTTCGAAAATTGCCGTTTTTCACCCTGACCTCTTTAGCTCGTTATTTTTGTTGTTGTCCGACTTTGGCAGGGCATCTTCTGTTGTGATGGAGCTTCCTTCATCTACCGTTGAACCTGACAAAGCCTCTTTTGCTCATGTGGTGGGTAATCCTCATAGGAAGACGACGGTTGTCTTCCCCTCAAGTTATAAGGAGCAACGGGATGACACAGATAATTGCCCCTTTATCAAGATTGCAAGCAGGAAAAGTGAGAAAGCCACACTTTTTTTCTCTGAGCTAGAAATTTCATCCCTGACTGATAAATTCAAGTTTGCTCTTATTGAAAAATTTCAATGGGGACACCCGCTTATGGCTGTTATCAGAAAATATTTTGATGATCTCAAATTAGTAGGAAAGTGGTAAGCGGGGCTCATGGATGAGAGACACGTATTAATTCAACTAACCATGCCTGAAGACTACACTGAGATTTTTTCCAAAAAATATCTCAACATTTCTGGTAAACCAATGAAGCTACTCAAGTGGTCTCCTGATTTTGACACCAAGCGTGAATCTCCTACTGTACCGATATGGTTTAATCTACCTAGTCTCAAGCTGCACTTTTTCATCATCAGGTTCTTTACTCTATTAGTGTCATACTTGGGAACCTTTTGAAGCTAGATCTACCCACTTTTAACATAACCAGACCTTTTATGGCCAGAATACTTGTTGAAAGAGATATTACTTTATCTGATGTTACTGAAGTCTAGTTGGGCACAACTCACAATGGATATTGACAACAAATTGTTATGAAGCATAGACCTCCTTATTGTTCTCATTGTAAGATGTTTGGGCACAACCTTGATAAATGCTATAAGCTGCACCCTAATTTGAAATCTAAAGATTAAGGGCCCGTTTGGGGCAGCTTATAAGACTGCTTTGGACATATCTGTTCCATCTATAGTAAAAACTACCACAGAACAAGTTATGGTGTCTGATTTAATCGCCCTTGTGGACCCTCCCCTTGAAAATAATATTTCTGCGATCGATGAAAAGCTGGATGGCTCTGCTGAGCAACCTACACTTTCAAACCCTCAGTTGCAGAAAACATTAGGTGAAGAGGAGACATTTCATGCTTCACACACACTTGAACCTACAGTCGTTCAACAGTTGACAATCCTTCTTCTGGTGCTCATACACCCTAATTTGAAATCTAAAGATTAAGTGAATAGGAATGGATCTGACCCCAACTGCTTTGGACATATCTGTTCCATCTATAGTAAAAACTACCACAGAACAAGTTATGGTGTCTGATTTAATCGCCCTTGTGGACCCTCCCCTTGAAAATAATATTTCTGCGATCGATGAAAAGCTGGATGGCTCTGCTGAGCAACCTACACTTTCAAACCCTCCTCAGTTGCAGGAATTATTAGGTGAAGAAGAGACAATTCATGCTTCACACACATTAGAACTCGTTGCAACAATTGAAAATCCTTCTTCTGATGCTCGTCAGCTTTAATCTGCTCGGTGTTCTGTTTATCAACATGATGATCAAATGAGCCAGTCTTCTAAGGAGGAATGACAGGTCTATTCAAGGAGGAAGAA